CCAGATCACTCACTTAAGATTTGATTTGCAATGCAAATAGTTAAACCATGAACGATAGTTCTTAAAAATTTTCTCCATCAAATGCTGTACAGTGCCACTATTCAACTGCAATAAGCTTTCTGTTAATCTTTAATGATCACATCAGATACAGCCTTGAAAATTGAGAGCATATAAAATTCAAAGCAAAGGAGAAAACACAAAGCACCTCAAAGGAACATCGATTTACCTGTGTGTAATTTTCAAGATTTCTATGTCTTACATCCATGTTGGCAAGTAGCAAGATTAAGTGTTCCCTCTGATTTGCAACATTTCCTTTCTTCAAACCCCAGAAAAGATAAGACAACATAGTAAGAACATGTCTATGCTTATATATATGTGTGTGTGTGTGTGTGTGTGTGTGTGTGTGTGTGTGTGTGTGTGTGTATCTAGCAGTAGTCTATTGCATCAAAGAATCATTGAGCATGCGAGGTGCAAGAACAAATTCGCATCACTTCAAAGAATGATATCTACTTAATGAAGATTGAGAGGACAGCCAAAATGCACATTTCCCACTGCTACAAATCCTCCCTTATAAAATTTGTCTTGGTTCCCAATGGATATAAGTAAAATAGCAGTACTATTGTGATCAACTTGAGGCAGGGATGCCAAGACCACATGGAGTTAATGCCCGCAGTTATTAGGCAGTGAGGTAGGAACAGGACAAGAGTCTTCATATGAAACAAAACACCAATATCAAATCCATCACATAACATTTAAAAGTAGCACCTTGACATTTATTGTGCTGCAATTATTTTCTTTTAAATTCAATAAGTTGTAGATTCCAATGGAAACATGCCTATTCAAGTCATTCCTATCTTGACCAAGTAGAAAGGCAACAGAAAACTCAAGGGAAATGGCAAAAGGATAAAGAAATGAGGGCTCGCTATTTTTTTTCTTCCATGTCTTGGGGTGTGTGTGTAAAGGTACATTGAATTCAAGAGGTCTAAATACATTATTAGAATCATATTCTCTCAACCTTCAGAAGAAAAAGAAAAAGAAAAAACTCGGTATTGACTCTTGTTATGAGAAAACAATGGTTATTTTCCTTAATTTTTGTATCTGTCCATTATTGTCTTTTTCAATTACCTTGCCATTCTTTCATTAGATGGCATTAGATTATTCATAATTATTGACCTACATTAATTGCCACATCCGAGTCAAATTAAGCTCCACCCCTAGTTGTGGGCCAGTGCTAAGAGTAGCCAGTTTACTAGCTGAGATCCACAAATCAAGAAAAATCCTTTTAGAAACTTAAACATGCCTATACAGTTGGACAGGTTTAGGGTTAGCACACCAATACAAGTTTCAGACATGCGGCATATAAAAACCAAGGTAAAATGAAAGAGAAAGGTATTTAGGCATAAGTTACCTGAAACCCAAAAATAGAGGAAAGCCAATCGAGTATATCATTGACAGGTTTAATCCTCTCGGTAGGCATTGTTGACTTGTCATCAGGATTCATGGGTTTTAAATGCATTATTGGCATTGGAAGACCATTCACATTTTGTAGAGCATGAAGTGCTGCTTTGATCTAAATATTTCCAGAAAAAATAAAAGGGTAAAGCAATGAGCAAGAGAGAAAAATAAGATTTCTTAAAACTAAAGCAGAGATAAATGAAAATCACATATACTACGCATGTACAACCTCAGGCAGTTCCATAATTGCTGGTTTAACACCAACAGTATATAACGGAAGAATGTTATAGTTTACATACTGCTCCCTTTTCCTCTTGACATCTTCAGCAATTTTCTGTGTCTGCAATGAAAAAAATAATAGAATAGCCATGTTTTCAGTGCCTTCTCTATCAATCTGTCACTTAAGAACTTGAGCAATCCTGGAATCATACAAATCAAACCTGTTGATCAATTTGAGTTTGAGGTACCACTGTCTTGAGCACGTCATATAGTACTGTTGCAATCTGAATAATCCTAGCCATCTCTTCCCTTCAATATACAAGAGACAGTGAGTAATTCAATAGTAAAAGAAAGGTAACATACCAACAATTCAAAAACAAGCCTTACGGTTTTTTTGTGTATTCTCCTTCTAGGATATTGTTCCGATAAAATTGGTGGTAAAAATACAGGATTTCTTTTGTATCAGATTTAGCAAGCTGATGTCTTGTCTCTTCTTCTTCCTGCAACGAAAAGAATTTTAAGAGATACAGAGAGACTTCAATTCACTTTCAGGAGCTCTTAAATACAATATAAATCAGTCATGATATTGAATTAGTATTACCCTAGAATATTATTTATAGGTCTAGAGATTATCTTTCGATTCAGTCTATGACTTGATTTGCACATTTCATTCTAAAGTTAAATGTTACCATCTAAAAAAAAAAAAATACTAATTGTATAAATTGTTAGCTTGATAAATATTGTTGGCTTATTTCCTAACAACTTAAATTCTTGGGGTCCAATTGTTGTCTATAATGGTATCAGAGCTCTAATTGCAGGAGGTATTGAGTTTGAAACTTCTTATCATGGAAGGAAAGGGATAAAAGGAGATGAGGGGAAGAAATAAAATAATTTACAGATAAAATCACAAGTGAACTAATCATACACACAGCACAAGAAATATAAATTAAGTTCCAAAATCAGACCACTCTTCTGGAAAAAGGTAATAAAATACAAGAAACCACAAATAATTTAAAAGTCTACCTTTTCAAGTCTGTGCAAAAGATGTGTCTTAAACTGACGAACACCTCGTCCACTTGATGTTGGATCCTTTTTGTGCGCCTTTTCAAATCCATGGAAGCGGCCTAATAGCACAAAATATATCAACCTAAGCGACGACAACATTTACTGAACTAAACAGGAACACGTGATGCAAAGAACTGTTAGATTCTATCCGTATAGGAAATAGAGATTAGGTGAAAATCTTCTCAATGAGAAATAAAAGTCTTGTTAAGATTCGGTCAAATTTTCTGTCTTATTTGTTCTATGTATAACATTTATCAACCACATTTTCCACCCCCTTCTCCTTTATATTAAACATATGAAACTAAGCCGGGATCACTACCATTCTTTTAATTTGAAAATAATGAACGCTGAATTTGACAACTTGATATTATGCATAAAAAACTGAACTTATAAAATTCATACAAAAGAATTGAACTTTCTTTTTGTAATTAGGTCCAAACAGTATTTTAGTTGAGCCGGCCACCACATATATTCAACATAATCAGAATCACAAACACCATGTATTACTATTCTAACAACATCAAGCAATGTGCTTTAATAATAATGAATTGCAAAATAATACAACAAAAGCACATACAGAGGTAGGCAACCCTGGGGTTTTCCTTCTCAATCTCATTGGCGACACGAAAAATGGGAGCAATTGATGCAAGGCACGAGGGCACATCCAACTCCTCGTCCTCAGTCGGCAAGTCCAAAACCCTCGTGGACATTCTCGTAATTCGCCCCGATAACGACCTCGGCGGGTCCTGATTGCTCTTCGTCCCGCTGGAGCTCGCCATTTCCGAAAAGCACCACCAATACTCAGCCTCTCAGTTTCAGGTCTCACTGATTTCGATGTAGCTTGTTTGCAAATGAAAGAGATCATCTTTTTAGGTATTTGTACAGAGATAGAAAGAGAGAGTATAGATACTTTGGGAGAGATGTGGGGCAAGGGCAAGGCAAAGCAAAGTGGGTTTGCTCTCAAAGCAAGAAAGGAATTGGTGACGGAGTTTTGTTTTGTATGGTTTCAGACTCTTTTTGAGTGCTTTTGCTTTTCCATTTGATAAATTTTGATAAACAAATCTCAATCACCAGCGCAGAAGCGCTTTTTCTGTGTGGGTTTCCTTTTGGCTTCTTTATTTTTAAAAACAGCGGGAGCTTGCTTCCTACTGGAGCTTAACAACAGGGCGCGAACTGTGACTGCGCATGCAAAGAAGATAGAAGGTGGGCTTCCATGAGCTGAGGGTGACACGTGGAATATGTCCAACTGTACGGAGTGGAGGAATTCTAGCACGTGGCTATACCAAACAAGAATTTCTCAACCTGAACAAGACCATAGAAATTATAAACATAGCTTTTTCACTTCACTTTCTTTTGTTAATGGAATGGTATTTGATGGGTTGATTATTGATTTTGGTTGATAAATGCTTTTTGGTTTCTCTTCTTTTAAGCAATTAGGAATAGAGTTTTTCTATTACCCCACACTTTTTTTTGTTCACCCCAATACTAAATTATTAAGCTTTTAAGTTTTATTATTGTGTAAAAAGACAAAAAAAGATCATCCAACTTAATACTTAACCCTAGTACATCTACACACACCCACACACCCCACCACTCTTCATATTGGCACATCACAACTAACCATGTGATATTGATGAGTTTGATGAGATTGATGAGTTTGATGAGTTTGGTGTGGGGTGTGAGGTTGATGAGTTTTTTATTTATTTATTTTATGTTAGGTGCATGTTTAAAGGTAGTTTGGGAAGATAGTGGGGTTTTCTAAGAAATTATGAAAATTTGAATTAGAAGTTGAGGTGAACTTAGAATATGGGGTGAATAAAGAGAAGTGTGGAGTTTAAATAGAAAAACTCTTAGGAATATGGGATGAACCTTGGAATAGATCCGTAGGATGAGCTTTACCATTCAAGATCAAGAGTACTCCACAAGAATCGAACTTGTAATCTTTTTCGGATGGGTTTCCCACCAAAAGTTGATATGCCAAACTAAAGCAACGTTAAATCACAAAAGTTACTATTTTCACAGCTACCCATCATAGATTCTCAAGTTTCTTGTTCTTCAGTTAATAACCTAATAATATACCAGATTTGCTAATAAATATAAATCACGCAATTAATTCGTTCTGCTTCCTTCACCAATTCCCTGGCTGAATTCAGGATTTTTGAAACTGTGCAACTAAAAGAATGATATGTACATCAGTATGTAGTTAAAATATTTAATGAATCAAATCATGATCCAAAGGCATGCACCCGCAAGAGAGATAATTATCTGTTTGCAACACCCTCTGTATTTTTATATAATTTTTTCTCCTGGTTTCTGTACCAATAATCTATAATATTTTCGCCATAACATCGTCAAAAACACCCTAAACCCTAATATCGTCGAAAACACCCAGTTGAGAGGCATCTACATGTAAAAGGGTGTATACAGTAAGAATCCATTGGCAAAAGTGGATCGGCTAGCAGCATTTCTGGTGGAGAGGGTAGCAGCATTTCTGAAATGTAACTATGTACATGAACCAAATGCAAAAAGCGGCAGCATCCACATCCATGCATCTGCAGTATATGCTTGTATAGTTGAGAGGCATCCACATCCTCCATCTTCATTTGAATTTCACTGCGATGCATAAGTCTCAAATCATATGCATATGTGAGTCTGCATTTCCAACGTCTCTTCTCCCGAGACCAAAAGAAGTTTTAACTTCATAAGTTTTTCTTATATGGGACTTGCTCGTGATGCCTGCAATACAATCAAAAATCCATCTGATGTCTCCTCTTGAAATGAACATAGTTTATAGCAAAAAGAGAAAGTGAAAAAACACAATTATGGAATTTGTCATTTCAGAAGTATGAAATAGAGTAGCAAAGGACCTGATTAGTTGAACTTGTTACTCTAGCCCAACGACGAGGACGCTGTGTGCCCACTGCAGCATAGCTGACAAAAGTAATTGTTCTTGATTGTTCCCTTTGGTGATTAGCGATTGAGGGTGGCAATTCTCTTACAATCCATAATACAGAAGTTGAGGGCACCAAAGATCCTGACATAGGATAGAAGGGGTGCGAGAAAACTCATGATATTCAATATGTGATGAACAAAATGCAGTATCCTTCCCATTCATGATGGGGAAAATTGAAAACAAAGCTCAGAAGGGAAGATAGAATTACCCATAAAATAGTACAGAATCAGAAAAACTAGTGCTTTTCCGCCATATGTTTTTTTCAGACTCCGCTGACAATATAGCTGGCAAAGAGCTTAAAGTGAGGTAAGCAAGAAAATACATAAGGTAAACTAAGGAAGGAATTGCACAAAGAGTAGTAAGGTCTCTAGCCAAAGACCGCTTACAGGAATATTTGTAAGAAGAGCTACCAATGCACTTGACGTAAAACATATAACAGAAGTAATTGCCAAACCAGCAACCTGTTTACAAAATTCCAAACTTACTAAATACAAACAGAAGTGTGCCAGTTTAGGCAGAAATTATGACATAACATTTTAAGTAAAGAAGTAGGCATTTTGCATTCAAAGAAGAAATTAGTAAGTGCACTTTGAAGAATTTGAATAATATTTTTATCAAATAGAAGAAATCATTTCTGTCAGTTTAATAATACCTTCCACATTTCGGATGAAGCTTTCTCAGACCGTACTTTCCTTAACTTACAAAATAGCAGGATGCCTGGAATTTTAGAACGAAAGAGTGAAGTTAAATTGCGGACAGCACATGAAAGAATTCAGTTAAACTTTATAAAGCCAATATCACTTTTCTGACAACAAAACCCAGTTAACCTTGCAACATCCAATATACCAAAACATATGAAGAGTTTTTGGAACAAACAAGTCAATCTTAAAATCCTTAAACATAAAACTTGGATAACAGGTTGAGTCTTACCCCTAACACCATTCCACCACAATGTCAGTAAGTGTTACCCTACAAAAATGGTTACAGGGTAATAGTAGCGAAACTAGAGGAAGAAGCTTAAGCCTATGCACTACCAAACAATGGAAATGATAATTCGATAGTATAAGATATGCCAAAACCACTTACTGGTCTTGAACAGAACAACATAAGAATAATAAATAAACAAAAAACACAGACCTTTAGTAATAAAAATAAATAAAGGGGGAAGAAAGTACAATTAAAATGGATGAAGAGTAATCATATCTAACTGAAGACCCTCAAGCTAAAGCACATATTACAATCAATACAACACTGCCCTAAATCAAGAAGAACGACTCTAAAAACATAAAAATGTTTTACTACGAAGCCAATGAGAATTTAAAATTTTGATCATCATATCCACAACAAAGAAACTAGATTGACAAAACCCAAATGAAACTGATAATAAGAAGATAAATGTGGCATGACCCCCAAAAATAAATAAATGCATAATAACAAGTTGTCAGTGCTCTCACCATAGCAACCTAATGCTCCTCCTAATAAAAGAACTGTGAAAGCAAGAAAGTCTTCATATGCCTGTAAGATGGTTGCAGTTATTGGGCGATGATAATTGCCACATTTAAACGAATAGATACATAAGGACACATCATTAAGTGAACAATAAGAAAATATGATATGATGCAAACAAAATGTTCCAAAATTTAAAAAGGAAAACTAATGATTGGAATTTCAGGAAGTTTAAGCATACACAAAGTGCTGGTGTCTCACACATGTACTAGATGTCTAGAACAACCAAGATAAGACTAATCTTCTATACACAAATAAGGGGATGGAAAAACACTTATCTCAACTAACGTTTATCTACACATGTTAGTAACAAATCAAGTAGACGAGACCAGCAATTTCCTCAAAAAACACTGATATTGACCTAGACCTTGATAACCAATCAATCTCCATAAGGAAATAAAAATGCCAGCTGCAGTTCAATTCTCCTGTATGAATTATCAAAATGCCAGATATGGACTGAACTGTGTTTTCTTCTAATTCTTTAAAACCTAATTTCCCGGTAGATGTCATGCCTAGTATAAGTTACCATGTTGCAAAATTTTCCTAAAGACTGTTAAGACAAAAGTTCATCTGATGCTAAAAAGGATAGAGTAGGAAAGACTGTACTCCATACCTGAGCCACTGCTGAAGAATCAATGGGATTCTTACCCACACCGATCCAGATTACCACAGCAAATGACATCATCAGAACAAGGACAAGCACAACAACCTAGTGGGAGAAACGGATGAAATTAGATGACAAGAAGAACGAGTGATGACAATGTTTCAGTGAAAGTTACCCAACTTTTATACGACAAATTAAGGGCAATAACAAAACAAGTCTATTTCTCGTACCGCAATCACAAATTTTTGGTGACTTCCAACATGAATGCTTTGGAATGAACAACAAATTCGATGACCATCTTTGTTTGATGAATTAGGTTTATTCTTTGAATTTTCCAACAAGGCCTGCTGCATGCTATCGTCCTCGTCATCCTCCTCGTCATCATTTGCCTGATGGCAAAGGTCGACCCTACAAAGTCATTGTCCATAACAGCATTTGTATACCTTATAATTATAAATTACACTGCAACTGTACAAATTTCTATTGTGCAGTCTTTAGATATTGTAATTGAACATATAAAAAATAAATCATGATGCTATGTTCTGTCTATTTTGCAACATTCTTCAAATAGAAAGTGGTATTTGAGTAATTGACTAACAGAAAAAAAAAAAAACCTTTTATTTTCTTTTTGTGTAATGTTAAATACAAACAATTATAAGTATTAATGTCAAGGAATTGTCACGATCGCAAGTACAACATTGAGTGTAGATGAAAAATGAATTGTATAAAAAAAAACATAGAAATTTCAAAAGGAAATCTAGCAAATGCCAAGTAAACATTAATCATAGAAATAAAGCTAAAAAGAAAAAAAATCAAAAGCATTTGAGAAAGATGGAATTGCATTATCAGAAGATGGGGAGGATAAAGTTCTTCAAATATCCTATTGGACACAGCAAACATAACCTTAACAAGATGCTTTCAACAGTTCAAAGGGTGAAAAGACATTGATCTAGTTAAGAGAAGTTGCTGTCATGCTTTTCAATCAACCAGACCATCTCTAAAATTTCAACATGAGAAAGCCTAATCTAGAATAAGAAAACTTACCAAAAGGACAGGAGTAGAAGAAAAGCTGCGAGAAACAGAATTTTGGGGTAGGCTGTAGCAATATTTTTCATCAATAAGATCACCAGTGACTACAAAGAAACTCTAGAAACAAACATTTGAAGCAGCTCGTCAATCAGCATAACTAAGTAAAATATACCCATTAGGATGAACCCGCAGACATTAGACCAGCAAAACCACTTCTTACAAGCTGCAACCAACGTAGATGTAAAATATATGAAGTAACCTGCCAAAAGAAGAAATTTGATGCTATAACTTGATGAAGTGCATAATACGACCAGACAATCTTTTTTGAGCTTTTATAATTGCTTAAGAGTGTCTAAGAATTGGTAGAGTGGAAAGAGGAAAAGATAGAAACTGTTTTGATGAATTGAAGTTTTCAAACAGAAAATCAATGTAAACCTGCAGAAGACTTAGAAAATTTTATCAAAGAATATGATGAGAATGAAAGACGTAAGTAGTCAATGCTCATGCACTATTGTGTACATCAAGTTATAACATAAAGGACGTGTTTCCTTTTTATCAATGTAAATACACGGGAGAACTGATCTGATACAATTGGAACCCTTGTACACCCACTCTCTCAATACCCCAACTTTGCATTCTGGCTGACAAGCAGATATGAGTGATTTAAATTCACATTATGGTTAGTAATGCTTATTATTGTACCCGTTCAGTCGCATGATTAAACCAATCATTTAAGCTAAGCCAACCTGAAATTGTATGTAGCATATGACCATACGGAAAACTGAAGACAATGACTTAATTCAAAAGGCTTCCATAGTATGGCATAAAAAGTCTTGTAGCCTTTGCAATAGAGAAGTACTTTAAAATTCCACTACTCAGTTTAACTCAAATTTGAGTCAGAACCATTATTTGACGTTTATAAAAGAAAATTGATGACATGAACCACAAATCCTCAGCCTTACCCAAGTTAGAAGAGCCAATCATGAGGTGGAGTACCTGCCAATTAGTAATCATTTCAGTCAAATGGTCCCTATAAATAGTGAATGTACATACAACTGAAATGAATATTATAGAACTTTAAAGAATTACAAACCATTTTTCACATTCAACAAACGTAGACAGAGCCTAAGCATATTGCAATACAAATTGTAAGACTGATGGAAGCACAAAGTGGGGGGGAAGGATTCCATAGAATTTGCACATAATATATGACGTGAAGTTCCTTGCACATAAGTGCTCATAGCATTCCTACCACATACAGTAGGAAGTACAAACATCAGACAAGAACACGCTAGCTCTGCCTTCAATTACTAATAGAACAACTAATGATATTTTAAAAAATAAGCTTTAGAAGTAAGAGATGATGCCCCTTACTTTTTGGCGTGTCCATCCACTTTGTCGATTGCGCATGTGAATCCTGACCAGCTGGAAAAACAAAATGCTAGATGATTCCCAACTTGGGGAAAAGAGTAATTAAAAAAGATAAGTACTTGTAAAATATTTAACCAACAAGATAACAATACAAATCAAAGATACCAGTATCTATAGTGTAATTACAGTAACAAAATTTAGGCCCTTATACATGCGTAATTGGCTCTTAGAAACCATTGGAGAAGTCGGAATACTTGCAAAGATAAGGGGATAGTGATAGTGGAAGTAATAAGAGAGAAATGGGGAGACATTCAGGATGTTTACTAGAGTTATTTATTTTACCCTTATTTTAACTTATAATCTGATATAAGGGCAGCAATGCACAAGCATTTTCTATCTTAATGTATGTGCCTAAATTATAATTTCAAAGGATCAAACTAACTGTAGAATTTCAATTTTTCCTCCACTTTCTCACCAACCAAACACAGCGTAAAACACAAATACCAATTCAATCCAAATCATAATTCATGGAATAAACATGCATTATCCTTCTCACGTTTAACACATCAGTCAAAATTGAAAATCCCTCAAAATAGACCAACCCACATAATGAAATTCTTAACAGAGCTGAAAAGCACAAACAATACAGATGACAGAGGAAAGGGTGTTCAAACAAACCTGAGAAAACGCAATTACAGCAAGAACGCCATTGAAGAAGGCCAAAGCTATGTTGAAGACAAGCAAGTCCAAAGGAAAGCAATCACTTTTTTCCACTAGGAGCTCCAAGAACATCATCTTCTTCTTCACCTTTCCAGAAAGCAGAGGAAAAGAGAGGCCTTTTTAGCTATTAACTCTCTCACTTTCTGTCTATCTAATCTTAGAAACAGAGAGCGATTAGAAAAACCAGCTTTGTAAGTATTTATATATATAGAAGGATCTTTAAGTGTACGGTCGGACGAGAACAACACAAAAAATTTAGCTTTGCCCACCAAAAAAAAATCACCCTTGTGGTTCTGTTTCTGTTTCTGTTGTTGTTTTTGTTGATTTTTGGGACTCTTTTGTAGCTTAATAATTTTGTTTTATTTTTTGCTCTGAAGAAAAAACCATAATTATAAGATTTATGAGAAATGTGGAATTGCTAGAGAATATTAAATCTAGAAAGTTTAATAAGGTTTTAGAATTTAATGAAAATATTAAGTATTTAAAAGTACTTTTTTATTAATAAAAAAAATTATCTAAAATATCACTAGACTAGTGACAAATACTTTAGAATATTAAGGGATATTTAGTTTCATGTTATAAACACTATTTTCCAAAATTTCAGTGTCTGCATACGTGTAACTCGACCTTGTTGTGATCTAAGTCCTAATTAATAATTTAAAGATATTTATGATGCATAATTGGAAAATTCGAAGTCTTTTCAACCATATTTGAGTTAATGGGTAACATTTTTTTTTAGCACCTATCATATTGAGAGGGCAATAATATATTAAACTTACACATATTAAACGAATGTTACCAGAACTTTTAATGAACGAACAATTGTTCTAAATCAGTACATAATGTATCTTTGCAATGGGTAACATTATTTATATCATCTCAATTGTTTTTCAAAAGAGTTTATATCATCTTATATCTTTCCTTTCCGGAGGTGCATTCACGCTTCCTTTCTTTGGCAATGGTCATGATTCATGGCCATTTCATAATGGCTGGGGTTTGACAACAAATAAATATTTTTTTAAAAGTTAAAATAATATATTTATAAATAAATAATAATAATAATAAAAAGGGTGATGTGTAAATTTGGGTTTGAACACAATAAGTAAAAAAAGTTGGAATGTCTATCTTCCCTTCCCCCATCTGCCACGTCACACAATCGGGTCAAAAACTTGCTAAATATCTAAGGGAGTGTGACGTTTTGTGGGACAATTGGACGCGGCGTCCATGTTAAATAACCAGACAAGAGCTCTACACCGCCGAAGGGATTCTGTGACCCATGCGACTCTATTGGGCCAAAGAGGCAAATTCTACCCACAAGAATTCTCAGATGTGGTTTTGTCGGACCACAGATATACATTGTGTCCTGTTTTGTGTATGTGACTGCTAATGGTTCTAAATTGTCCACACACCAAGGTTCCTTATCTCCCTCTTCTTCTTCTATATACGCTCCCTTGAAGAACAAAATTAGCTGTTTCAAATACCGTTGATTCTTCTTGATTATTCACTGTGGAGTACCCGTATATGTCTATGAAGTTGTGTGCTTTGTTGATACGGATCAGGTATTGAAATTAGAGGATATTGTTATTTGTTAAAAGCGACTATAAACTAGAATGGCGTAAAAAAAATTTCTCAAAATGTAGCATTAAAAGAATTATGACGATATGAAAGGCGAGAGCCAATCAAGAGGGTTGATTAATTCAAGATGAACAATTTATACTTACATATCATGGAATAGAAATGAACTATATATATTCCTATTAGGCTAATCAAAATTCTAAGTATGATTTAGACTTCATTCAGTTCACTCACTTTATCCCCAATCTTATCCTAAAAACTTGTTCAAGATGTTGCCAAGCACTACAGATTGTCTCCACAATCAATATGATATGATCGAAACAAGACATATTTGATGTCCTTTTACATAAATGGTCAACCCATGCAATAATCATAGTGGCATACAAGTTATAGAAAATTATATGTAAGATCTCCGTCCTTTGTTAATGATGAATTTTGTGTGTCTGTGTGTTAATAATGTATCGGTACGTTTTGTTTGTGATAGATTATCAACAATAATATCGACCCCTTACCGATAAAATCCAATAAGATCTAGTCAATTGATTTGGTTAATTGACAAACCAAGAAGGAATTGCATAAATCTGGCTTCTTGGAGATACTTCTAGGTAAATAAACAATGTTGCCATATTAATTCTATATACGTATTCTATTGAGAATCTCATGTAATAATAAAGAGGAATGCTGGTGTGCTAGCTATGTACAAAAAGAAAAATCAGATCTAATAAAATCATATTCACCCTTCCAAATTCCAATAAAATGCCCTGCTGCTCAGATAGATGAGGTAGAGTTTCATCATCGTAATTCTTCTTCTGGAGAATCCATAAGTAGCCAGTGCTTCTCAAAAAAGCAACTTTGAAATAACGTCATAAGCAAAAGGGGTAAAAGCCCTAGAGAAAAGAAAGAGAAAAACACTTGCAATTGGATGATGAGAGAAACTGAGAAACAGGGTCTTCAAATTAACTTTGTTTTCAGCAGCTGAGTTTGCCTTAAATGAAGCTTTACTGGCTTTTAAAAAAAAAATTGTAAATGGAATAAGAGATTGCAACTTCTGATTTTGCCAAATTAACTTCAACTTCTTACTGCAGGTTATCATGATGACTAAGAGTTTCAAGGTTTCTCTTATTAATGCTCTCAGTTTCACTCCCAAAATAACAAATGAAACAACCCGACCCAAATTCCACTTTGAAATCCGGGCCGAATTCTGTTTAAAACTGACACCTAGTGACTGTAGGTCGTAAAATACCAAAATACTCTGAAAACAATAACATAAACCCTGAGCCCCTAACTCGTGGTTGTGCCGGATAACTGTAGGCTGCCTATATATCCTTACTGAGGGATCAAGCCACACTGAGTTCTTTCTTTTGTTCCTGATCTGTAACTGGTTTGTTTACTAAAACTCGCTCTAGGGTTGACATTTTTGGAGTATCCGAATTCTGTTTTACGATCCTGAAATTACCTAGATCAACATACTTGAAATTGACTGCGATCCAACGGTTCAAACGTATCGAACCCAAAAATCACACACTAGGCGAGATCCGTTCGGGGTTCAAACGTTATCCGAATTAAGATCCGCGAAATCCTACGCACTCGTGAGGACTATGAGATTATTCTAGGACTGATTGTTGTCCCCACCCAGCGCCGGCAACGCGTGGTGCCTAAAGCAATAACGCTTTGCTGGAAAATCTCAACATTTCGGCTCAAGACTTCTATCCTAGGTAAAACACCCTATTTGTAACCACTTTTGTTCTTGGACCTACCCCAAAAACTGGCCGGAAGTGGCCGAAACAGTGACCCGAAAGTCTGCTGAAACCTAACTTAAAAATCGAACGATCTACGCTTGAAATCTCTGAAATCCTACCCAACCAGCAGTTAGAGCATGGAAAATAGCTAGAAAACCATACCTCACTCGTTCGATTTGGTGGCCGGAGGTGTCCGGACGAGCTCCGTGAAATTCCATAAAAAACTGTCCAAACCGCCCAGTTTCGTGGCGGTTTCCGACGACCACACCGGCGGATCACGGCTGGGATGGGTTAAGACTGAAAGAGGGGAGTGAGGTGATTCGTTTGGCACTGGTCTTACTCAATTTGGTGGTCGGAGCTGAGAGAAACCCTCTCCTAAAGTCGGCTGGTCGAACTGGAGGAGGAGGAAGAAAACTGGGTTTTAAAAACTGAAGTTTGAAGTATTTACGGTTATGCCACTAAACTTCTTTTGATCGTAACTCCTTCGTTACAACTCTGATTTGAGTCCACTGCATGTCTACGAACTCGTTTCGTCGCGCTCTATGCAAAGGTACAACTGAAATCCCCAAATTCCTTCCCGGTCAAAAAGTCAACTTTTATACTATTAAAATATTCTAGGTGTATAGTGGTCTTTCACCAGAATAAATTAATAATTAAATATTAATTAAGGACCGGGTTGTTACAACAAATGTCTAGGCAAGTTTTCAAATCTGAAAATTGCTTGGATTTGAGAAGTAAATTGTGTCTATTTTCTCCAGAAAGTGACGGTAGGTATGAAAGTGGTCGGAAAATTAACTTTGTGTATATGACTAAAATAATTTTTTTTCTTCATATAATAGAGGTTGAAACTTGGTAAACTCAGAGTAATAAAGTGAAAATTTCCAAAATAATAATTATTATTATGTGAAAAAAAAAAAACACAGACACGCATAAGTGGCCAACCCAATTATGAGGCTGTCTCCTCCAAGTTACTATTCTTTTTAGACTATCTGGACATTGACCGTCCTACACAAAGTGCTCATTAGATGGACGTTGCTCCACCCCCCACGCTGGAAATAATCTAAAGCTTCCTCAGAGTTCTCTGTCTCTCTATATTTATATTATATAGATCTATAAAATCAGAGATATTGGGATGCATCCTCTTTAAGTTAAGAATCTAAATCAAGTTCAAAATCATATATTATAAGGAAAATATATATTTTTTTAAATCCCTAAGTTCTAAAAGGGAAATATGTCAATAATTTCAATTTGTTAAATGCAAAAAGCTTTCCCGTATAATGTTCGTATACGCATGCCTCGTGTTTCTAAGATTTCCTTGTCACACTTGCTTACTTTTATGAAGAAGAACTCATATCTCCCGGTTTCATACACAATTTGTATAAAACCGGCATGAGCTAAAAAGTATAAAATTAAAGAAGAAAATGAAAGCATTGTTTAACATTGAAAAGCCAACAAGCCGTGCATGTGTATATGATGAACTGGACCCTGCGGTAGGATCCAATAATATTGTTTGAACTGTTCTAACAAACTAGCCGTTAAATATAAGCTTGCCAACTGGACCACATCTGCCTGCACCATACCAAACCGTTATTAGAAGATGAATGAAACTACCAAATGTCGAATTTGTCCTTTCCATTGCAGTTTTTTTATGTGCCGTTACAGAAAGAGAGAAATGATGAGAAGACTCCGTTAAGAAGATGCCAATCAAAAGCAGTGCAAACCAAGCAAGCATATAATCCTGTATGATTATGAATGGCAACAGACTGTGATCCTTATTTATTACTATCATTGTTCCTTGTTCTTGGTTCATATGTTTTTATTATTTTTTTTTATAAGCGAACTTTTTT